GTTTCATGGTTATATTTAATTTTAGTTCGGGTACCCATCCACTTTGAGCTGCTCTATCAAGCAACTCGACTCTTTGGAAATGTTTTCTGGTATTCATAAACGTTATACGGATCCAGCACCCTCTATGGATAAAATGGACTCATTTGAAAAGGACTTAAATCGTTAATTTCTCATACTAAAAATTGAAACCCCCATACACTGCATCTCACATGGCAAAATACAGATACCTTCGGTTGGAAAATGCTATCAGGTGTGATTTAGAAGGGGAACGGCATCATATCGTCATCCTTTCTGTAATTTCGATTATTTGGATTTAACCCTAAAGATATTTACTTTTCCCAGAGTTGAGACTGTGTCCAATTTTTTAGGTATTTCTAGTACACATTCTGACTTCTCTCCTTGGCGCTTCTTTGAAGTAATAACTTTAAATGCAAATATGTCAAAATATTAATTTTGAAATGAATATGAGAGGGTCCAACCAAGTAGATTTTTAAAATGCCTGTTACCTGAAAGAAAGAAAGAAAAATATTTTTAAAATAACATTTGAAATTTTGTTGGCTTTTGTCATGTTTTGTTTATATAGTTTTAATAATATATTAGAATAGAAATGTTATATTTGTTTAAGGTCTAGGACTTACAAGATCTTCTAATGTGAGAATACCTTTTATAGCCCTTATAACTATTAAGGACTTACCCTTAATGATATAAATTTTCCAACGTTGGGGTTAAGTCCGATTTTTTAAGTATTTCTAATACACATTCCTTAGGGCTTCTTTGAAATAACTTTAAATGCAAATATGTCAAAATATTAAGTTTGAAATAAAGCTGAGTAGGCCCAGATTAAAATGCCAGTTACCTGCAAATAAAAAATAAAATTGTGGAAATAATATTTTAAATTTTATTTTTGAGTTATTTTGTTTTATAAATTTAATAATATATTAGAAATGAAATGTTATATTTTGTAAATGTCTAGAACTTAGAAGCTCTTCTAGTGTGAGGATACCTTCTATAGCCTTTGTAACGTCTTCTATAAACGGAAAATCTTTAAGGCATTCTCCGTATATTTTTCAATTACTTATTCCCCTTATCAGAAAAAATATTTAATTAATATAAAATTTCCTTTCAACTGATTACATTGTTCGATACCAAACAAAAATATTGGCTAAAGATAATACAAAAAACCATCTCTTTATAATAACCCCATTTCCTGTAAATCCGCAAGTGGATTTCAATATCTTATTTTTTATTTGTCATCCATTGACTGCCTTCAAGTTATTGACTTCTGTAACAGACAAAAAAATGACAACGACACGATATTCATATCTACTATCTGCCACCCGCTCGACATACTGTCACACAGGCAAATAAATAAATATCTCTGTACAAATTCGTGGTAATAATTAACACAGATTTATTTTTTTAATTTTTATTGCAAGAACACAATTACAAAAAATGATATCAATTTTAATGGCTTGTGTGAGGATTTACAATTGTGGCAGATATTGAATTGTTGAAGTTATTTATTAATATATAAAACGTTAAATAGAAATATGTTCGATTTTTTCCGAAGACTTCCGTCTGAATTATTATGGACATCAATTGATATTTCTGTAAAAATGTTTCAATATAAACGTAATGAAAAAGTAAATATGGATCGTAAGCAGTTTCCAATTGTACCAGCAGAGGGGATAACTATTCATAAAAGCCAGAATGCTACATAGGAAACAATTGCTGTTCATTTGAAGTCTCACATTAGTGGATCGGCATTATATGTTGCTTGCAGTAGAACGCAGCTGGGCTTTTTCGGCTGGGTTCATTTATACCGCCAAAACCATTTAAAGAAAGTGATAATGTATAACTGGAAATTACTAACTTACGAACGAAATATTTTCTCTGGTAGACCCAGCCTTTTATTTCCAACAGATTTTTTTTCTGGCTGCTCTAGGCTTAAATTTGTTAATAAATATTTCAACGAGAAAAACTTCTACTCTTTCGATTAAATTTCCACATGAAATACAGGAGCTATTGATCGCTCTAAACGAAGGCATCCGTCTGAATTTTTATGGACACCAATTGATATTTGTGTAAAAAAGTTTCAATATAAACGTAATGAACAAGTAAGTATAGATCGTAAGCAGTTTCCAATTGTACCAGCAGAGGGGATAACAAGTCATAAAAGCCACGATGCCACATATGAACAAGTTACTGTTCATTTGAAATCTCGCATGAGTAGATCAGCATTATATGTAGCTTGTAGTAGAGTGATTTTATCAGCTGGACTATTTCGGCTGGGTTCATTTATACCGCCAAAACCATTTAAAGAAAATGATAATGTACAACTGGAAATGACTAACTTATGAACCAAATATTTCTCTGTCTCCACAGGTGCTACATCTGAAAAAGTTGCTGTTCATTAAATTTGTTAAGTATTACATGAGAAAACCTTCATCTATTAGATGTACATTGTAATAGAAAATACAGGAACCATTTTCTCTAAACGGTATTATAAAGAATGCTTTGTTATGGTTATCATAGGTCATGAGCCATGGGAGAAAGTGACACATAATCGTTTCTTTTTTTATCTGGAAGCAGTAAGGTCTTATATTTTAAAGAATACTTTTTTCCGAGCCCATAGACATGCTCTTTTTTAAGTCCTATTTTTTTCCTGGGACCCATAATGCACACACTTTTTATTAAAATTATATTTTTTCTGTTAGCCCAGGGGGATTTATTTTGTAGAAGCTAAGGTGTGGACTATTTTCTTGAAGGAGTTTTAACTTTAACTGCAAGTATGTCAAAAAATATTTTAAGGGACCATTAATGTGCTATTTCTTTAGACATATCATTTGCTGGGACTCATAAGCGTACACTTTTTAAAGAAAATTTGGTTTCTGTGATCCCTGCAAGAAGGTGTCTCGAAGCCATAATATCGTACTTTTTAATGAATATTATTTCCGGGCCCATATACGTGCTATTATTAAAGTCATATTTGTTCCTTGAAAAAAAAAAACTTCAGAAGCCTGAGCCTATTTTTCATAGGGCGGATAATTTAAAGGTTTCAGAACTTTTTTTACAGAAAAAATCCATAGAGCCCTGAAGGCATTTCTTTTCTATATAAAAAAGTCCTCAACTGGATTACATTTTTGCCATAGGCATGAGTCTGTTTTTTTAGGGTGGCTAATTCAAAGGTTTAAGAGCTGATATTCGTAATGAAATCCCCAAAGATCTCAGAAAAAAATTCTTGAGGAAAAATACACAGAAATCTGAGCCAATTTTTTATAGAATTAAATCCCCTGAATGCCTTTTTCAGAGGTCTGACTTTATGTTAGTCCTCAGATTTCTCCCATAGAAAAATGACTTCAGATACATTAGCCTGTTTTCTTAGGGCAGATAATTCAAAGGTTTAAGGGCTGCTCTTCATAACTTTAAATGGAAATATGTAACAATATTGTGGCTATTTTCGGGTCTCAAGTATACATCCGAGCTATATCTTTGGTGCCTGAACATATTTTTTCCCCGACCCATAAACGTGCTCTTAATTAAGACCTATTTTTGCTGGAATTCATAAATTTTTATGTATTTTTTCTGTTAGCTATGGGAGCCTAAAGTATGATATGTAGATTTTTTTAGAAGCTGAGGTGCAGATTTTTTTCTTGAGGCGGTTTTCGGTACCAGTTTTTATATTCGGAGCACAGTTTTTTTTATAGAAAAAATCTCTCAGAACCTAGAGTGTATTTTTCAGAGAAAAAACATTTAAACATTTTATAGAAAAAGTAGAATTATTTCCTGAGAACACTTTATAGAAAAAAATTTCTCTTAGCGATGCCATTTTTTCAATAACAAATTTCTTTAGAGACCTTAGCAGACTTTTTTCTATGCAAAAAATTGTTTTAAAATTATTCTAAAAAAAATTGTCCAAATATGTATAAATATGTCGAAAGGCTTTAATAATCACTTTTAATGCAAATATGTCAAAATTTTTCCTTTAAACTGGAAATAGTTCCTAGATGGCCCAACAAGGTCAGATATCTAATCCGATATTATGTTTCCTGCAAAGAAGAGAATAAAGAGTTGTGTTGATGTATTTTCGGAGGCAATAAACTGGGACCCATAAGAGTGCACTTTTTAAGGAAAAATATGGTTTTCTGCCATTTATGAGGACCTGGAAATTTTCGCAAGGATATTTCTTTATTGATGGAGGTTTAACTTTAAATGCAAATATGTCAAATTAATCCATTGGGAAGATGTAGCAAATTATCTGCGTGTTTTCCATTGTATGGATAGAGGTTAAGGGCGGTTTTTGGCGGCTTTTCCTTCGATGAAAAGTTTACTGGTCCTCTGTCATTTTTTCTGTGTATTTCATATTTTTCTGAATTCTATTTTGCATTTATGGATTATCCAGCATTATCCAGATTTTTTCCGTACAATTTCTCACATTTTAAAAATATTTCTTTAAAATTATTTCAATATATATTTTTTTACTATTGCAGTTCATATTCTATTGATTTTAAATATTAAAAACACATCTACAATATATTAAAAAAATATATATTTTTTTATTACACAAAGAAGAAAAATAAAAGTATAGCGGCACAAAAAAATTAATTAACATTTCTATGTTAATGAAAAATTAAAAAAAAAGCAAAAAACAAACAGAATTACGACTCAAACCACACTCCAGGCGTAGAAAACCAAATCACGACATCAACATCAACATCAAATTGTTAAACAAAAATATATATTTATAAAAAAGCATTAACAAATAAAAAAGGCATTAACTTGTGAACATTTTGCAAAGCTGTGATAGTAACGCTTCAGTGTGAAAATCTAAAATATTCAACAAATTCCGGCAAAGTCGCCAGTCACAACATGACAACGAATAACTAAAGACGATAAAATAACATTTAAAAAAATATAAACGAGAACTTAAAGAAAACATTAAATAAAATAATATATTTAAAAAAAGTAACGAAAAAGAAAATCTCAAAAACTAAAACGACATGAGTGAACTATTGACAAATCTCACAAATTCCACCTCGGCCGCCGCTGCGGCTGCAGCTGAAATTGTTACGAACTTCTCGTCGACAACAATTGCACCCATAGCCGCCTCAATCTCCGATTCATTTGATTTTGATTTATTACAAAACTATTCAGTGTTAATAAATAAATTGGAACAATTGGCCTTGGGTGTTGATCCGAATTTGGAAAATATTTCCGTCAATCACAAGGAATTTGAAATCTCTTTGGCAAATGGTGGCACTGTCGATTTGCTGGGTGATCCCATTGCCTCAAGTCGTGCTGGCCCGCCACGCATCACCTATGCCAAGGGCCTGGATGAAGCCGACTATTCACGTGTTGTCAGTGATATATGGATTGGTATAATACTGACGCTACTCATAGTGTCTGTGATATTTTTCATATGTGCCTGCTTTTTGTATCATAAATTTCAACAGTGGAAGAATTCATGTAAGTATTTTGGGAAAAGGGAAAAAATTAAATTATAAAGAAATTACAAAAATCTTTAGAGCTCTGAGCTCATTTTTTCTAAGGGAAAATATCCTCAGTGCCTGATGATATTTTTTCTATGGAAAGAAATTTCTCAGAGAAAAAAGTTCTCAAAGGCCTGGTTACATATAAAAAAAGTTGTTAGATGCCTGAACTAATTTGTTTCTATAGAGTAAAAGTCATTAGAGTCCATAGCACATTTTTTCTCTATATAAAAAAAAATCATCAGAAGCCTGAGAACTTTTTTTTCTACAGGAAAAAGTCCTCAGAGGCCTGAGCAAATATTTTCTTATACAAAAATATTCCTCAGTGGCCTGAGCACATTTTTTTCTACAGGGAAAACATTCCTCAGAGGCCTAAACACTTTTTTCTATAGGAAAAAGTCTTCAGCGGCCTGACCACATTTTTCCTATACGGAAAAAGTGTGACCTGAGTAGTGGCCGAATGCCCTCAGAGGCCTGAACACATTTTTTTCCTTTAGAAAAGAAATCCTCGGATTTTTTTTTTTTTTTTTTTTTTTTTTTTGAGGAAAATATCCATTGAATCCTGAGCCTGAGCAGAAGGCGGATCATTTAAAGGTTTGAGGGCTCCTAAACGGAAAAATAAGAGGCCCTAGCATTTTTTTTTTTTTTTTTTTGTTACACGAGAAAAAAGCTTCAGAGGAATGAATATTTTTTTTGCTATTGAAAAAACCGACGGAGACCATGTTTTTTGCCTTTAAGAAGAAAAATCCGATTAGGCCCGAACACATAGATTCTTTGGAATCATCAGAGGTCTAAAAATTTTTTCTAGAGGAAAAAATTCTATGTTTTCTATAGAATACATTTTTCTTAGAACGGACATTTTAAAGGTTTCAGGGCTCCTAAACGAAAAAATGTCCTCAGAGGCCTAGATTTTTTTTTTTTTTGCTGTAGAAAAAACCGACACTTCGCATTGCACATTTTCAGAGGTCTGACCATTTTTTGTATAGAAAAAATCTTTAGAGGCCAGAGCCTATATTTCTTAGAACGGACAATTTAAAGGTTTCAGGGCTCCTAAACGAAAAAAGTTCCTCAGAGGCCTGAATTTTTTTATTTTATTTATATAAAGAAAAAAACGACGGATATCACTTTTGTTGTCTATGGGAAGAAAAATTTGATTAGGACTGAATACATTTTTCCTTAGAAAAGAAATTCTCAGATATATTGAGGAAAAAAATCCACAGAGCCCAATTTTCAGAGGTCTGGCTATTTTTTGTTCAGATTTGTTCTATAGAAAAATTACTTCAAAGGCCTGATTCTATTTTTCTTAAGGCGGATAATTCTAAGGTTTAAGGGGCTGCTCTTCAGAACATTTTTCTGGAGGAAAAAATCCACAGAATCCTGAGCTCATTTAGCAGAGGTCTGACTATTTTATATCCTGAGCATATTTTTTCTAAAAAATATATTTCTAAGAAGACAGAACTTTTCTTCATAACTTTAGACCTGAAAATCCCTGGGCGCATTTTTTAGAACTCTGGTCATAAAACCTCTGATAATTTTTTATAAAAAAAATCCTCAGAAGTTGGACCAAATTTTTAAGAAATTAAGAAATTTTTTCAAGAGAAAAAAAATCCACAGAATCCTGAGCATATTTTTGTTTATAGAATAAAAACCTCAGAGTACTTTTTTACAGATAAAAATTCCTGAGCACATTTTTTTTTTTTTTTAGGTCTGACTTTTTTATAAAAAACTCTCAGAGGTCGTACCAAATTTTTTCTATAGAAAAAAATCCCCCTTCTTCATCACTTTAAATGCAAATATATCAAAATATTGTGGCTGATATTTTCGGGTCTTAAATATATATACTTCCGATCTAATATCTTTGGTGTCATAACTTTAAATGCAAATATGTCAAAATTGTAGTGCTGTAATGGTCCAACTAAGTAAATTTTCCAACCGATTGCCTGTTACCTGTAAAGAAGAAAAGAATTAATTTTTGTTTTTCAAGATTATATGGTTACTAACCTGGTCTTTCCTCCACATTTTTGGAATTTAGATTTTCAAAACTATTTTTTGAACTTGCCAATATTTCGATACCACAATTTTAAGACTCAGTAGTTCATTATTATTTTGATTATTTATGATATGCATCAAAACGGGTGGTCTCCAAGAAAAGAATCATTCCTGAACCACGAAATGTTTTTAATTTACTTGGGTCACGTGAGAAGCATACTATGATATTCTATATTTTCTATCTTTATAATTTTATTAACTAAAAAAATATTTTATTTTACAATATTTGTTTCCAAAACAAGTTTATATTGCGATCCGCAGATACTTCATTTAGCATTTGTTGCCATGGCTCCGCCTCTCGGTTAAACTTTCCATTAGTTCACACCTTTTGCTCGTTCGTCTAAATCACGCACACACACCCCAAAAAACGAGAATTTTGAAAAAAACGTGCCTAAACTCTTATGTTCTAGAAGCTCACATAGTATAGCGTTTTATCATATGATAAATAAAATAAAACAAACGTAAGCATTTGTTATTCAAAACGAAATATATTACCGAATTAACGCCAATTTAAATCAGAAAATAAACAAAAAACAAAACAAACACCAAGCCAGGTGGGGGGAGAGCCTCTTTTTAACCTCTGTGACGTAAAAAGTTAAACAAATGTTATAAAAACTATTATCTGGCCAATAATCCAGCCAAATAAAAAACATTTTTGAATAAAATCTTATTTTTCTTGACGTATGTAAAACAGTTTTTTGCCAAAATATCTCAAAACGGAAAAAGATTTTGTAGTTTGTGATTTATGTAGATACGAGAAAAAAACGCCAAAAGATAAGCAGCACCAGCAATCCACCCAGAATTGACCTTGTTGTTTGTCTAAAAATCTTTTTGGCAAATATGATTATCATAATACCAGAAAAGTCGTAAAAGAAAAATACAACTTAACGCTGTTGGATATCTGCTGCTGTTTTTTTTTTACAATGACAGTGAACTTGAGTCATAAACGTAGGGGAAGATACACTGTCAAGTAATGCCACTAGCACCAAAATTTGCATAACTTACGTTTTTTATGATGTGCCAAACAGATTCAGGGTTTTAGTTGATATTTTTTTTTATTGCTTTCCGTTTTTTGTGGAAAAAGTTTAATAACCTCTATGAAAACAACAAAGTTTGATAACATTCCTTGTAATCACAAATGTTTAATGTATAGTTCCATGCTCATTTTAAATCCAAGTACATATGGTGCGTATAACTAACGACACAACGTATACGCCATTGAGATCAATCACAATAGTTCATAGTTTCTCAAATATACGATGAGAATGTCTCACCAAACGCACTTCAAAAGAGACTGTCACGAGAATCCATTGCCATATAGTAACAAAGCCGCAATCTTGGAATGAATAAATCAATCACTTCATTGGTACAAAAAAATTGGTCTCAGAAAAAGCAAACCACCTTCAATCCCCCCCAAAAAGTGATCCGTTAGTACCAACATCGTTCCTCGTCAAGGAGTTAACCAATAAAAATATCTTCTCTTCCCCAATAGGCAACTAGACGACAGAAAATTTTGCATTGATGTTCTCATGAACATAGTAGGAGAGATTATCTCCCCATAGCTCAGTGTTGTGCAGACCTACATTGAGAGTTAGTTTGGTGAGCGTAACTGAGAATTAATCACCCAAAATGACTGAAGAAAAAAAGAAATTAAATGAGAGTATGTTTTTTACCATTTAATTTGGGAAATTTTGGGCATTATAGGAAAATAAAATAGAGAACCAGTCTATTGTAAATAATTACTGAACAGGTCTATTGTGAATACCAAATACTTACGATCATTAAAATACAACCATGCATATTAAATAGAATGAAGAACAAAGAATGGAAGGAAATTAGACACAAGGCAGACGCTGTCCCCTTTTAAAGACACAGAAGTACAAGGAGCAAAGGAAAAGGGTTATAAGGTCAGCTTATTTAAAGTCAGAGACTTAGTAGTAATATAAAATGTAGACACAACAGTAGGTAGGTTAACAAAAAGCTATTGCCAAACATTTAAGGGTCCTCATGTCATAAACAAGGTGCTTCCGATGACGTAATCAAAGACATTGAAAATTGTCAGATCACCCAAATTTCTTATGATGGAGGAGTGATCGAAGCTTGTAACATAAGATTGTGGAAGACGAAGAAGACAAATTCACCACACTGGTACGATGGTTCGCAAATTTTATTTCTCCATTACTCGAACACTACGAACCTGACAAGAGTTTTTAAGACGTTGCGAATAGGTATTTTTGTTTTATAAAAATAGGTAAGGTCTTGTTAAACAGGGATCTAATTTTGTATACAATCCACCAAATATATGGGATTTTTCTTGTTGAATGTTTGTATACTAAAATAAGATAGTTTTCTATACTCCACACTACGGACTGATATGCATGTGCAGCGTGTTTGCTTGCCATATGTGAGATAAAGAAATGCGTGTGTCCACTCCAAGCACGCACCTTACGGAGAATATTCGTGTCAAATCCATATAGACCTCCGTTTAATAAATGGAATATAGACTCAAACATTTCGTGGATCTGATAATAACTTTAAATGCAAATATGTCAAAGGGTGTAAAGAGACGCTTTCCACTATCTGCTTCATATAATAGCTTGTCATTTAAATCCTCAGCACAATGCCTTCACCACATTAAATTTCCTTACATCCTTTCAAGATGTCGACGAATCTGGATAGGGTTTTAGGTTCCAAATTTCGGGACTCTGTGGACAACCTAAAAGACAAATATGACAATATATATAAGTATAAAGATATCAATGGGTGTGGTGCATTCCTTACGACTAGTTTGTCATTGAAATCCTCAACACCTTAGCCTTAACTTTCCGGGTGCCCAAAGGATTATTCACTTTCCGCATTTTCATGTGGGATGTTCAGGTTCCGAACTTTGCCAATAACTTTAAATGCAAATATGTCAAATGCCACTTAACAATTTGTTTCGTAAATATTTTCAATAACATTGTTAT